TCAATCAATCAATCAATCAATCAATCTATCTATCTATCTATCAATCAGTAAATAGTGAATCTGACTGGGCCACCTTCTTATATACTTATTTTCCACATTCACCTGTCCCCAAAGTCCACTATAATTTCCAGGTCCCTCTTTTTATTGCTGCGTATTTACAGTTTTTCCAGTATTTAATTTAAAAGTATTCCTGTAACATTTAAGTTTTCATAAAAACTTTAAATTTTTGAATCCATTTAGTGTCCATATGTTTACAAATTAGTAATCACACATAAAGAATTGTCAAAAACAAATTGCTGTACAAGGCAGAGGAAACTATTTTTAATGTGACCAATTGAAATATAAGAAAAACTGAATAACTTACTTGCTAAAAAGTTATGCAAATTAAAGGACAAATGTTGGAATTCAAGTCAGGATGGGTTCAAATATTCCATGCCCAGTTCATATCTACATAATCCTCTGTTTTTTTTTCATTCTATCAGTGTTTACTGTTCTTCAGTTCCTTGGCTCCAAAAGATTAATGATGCATTAATAAAATTATAATTTGGCTGATTTAATATAGTATTAATTACAACTTAGAACTATTATTTTCCTTAACAGGAAAATGTCAGAAATTTAAAAGAATGTATGAGGAAACTGTATTCTTAATATAAGCAAAATTATGCTAATATTTTGAATGTGGTGAGACTGATTATTATCCTTGCAGTTATGGAAACATAATTTCCTCAGATATGCCAAATCTTGATAGCCTTGGGTGAAGGATAGTGATGAAAACCACAGCTACCTTCCTTTTTACATCAAAACAGTAAAAATATGATTTATATAAAAGTACCTAAGACTGAGACACACTCTCTAGAATGCTTGACAAAAATGTACAGAGAATGTAGGTAGCTTATTGGTTTTTATTGAAATAATTGCACTAAGTTCTTTGTTTGCTATCTTGATTTTTTAGTTATTTTCAACACATTGCTGTCCACATTTTAGAAACTTCTTCCAGATCCTTGCACATATTTTAGGGATTGTATTACCTTCTTTATTATATGTCTTCTAAATGATTGGTCTTAGAGTACCTTAAGTTTAATTTGTTCTGTTTCTAATTATGTAAGATTAGAAACAGTTCCTCAATATTTCATTGTACAAATCCTACTTTCTAAATAAAGTCTGTATGACATTGGATTCATTTAAGTGATTCTCATGTCGGAAATTTTGAATGTAGTACTTGCGGAATGAAAACAGTGCCTTTTCTTGCATTAAAATAGCAGCCTCGGGCTGGTGAGATGGCTCAGTGGTCTAAAGCACCTACTTAGAACAAGCTAAGCTAAGCAAAGCACAGGGACCACGGTTCAATACCCTAGCACCACATGCCAGCCAGCTCCGCCCCCTGGTGGGCTGAGCTGGCCACACACTAAATAAATAAATAAATTAATTAAATAAATAAATGTTTAAAAAGAAAAGAAACACAGCCTCTTACTTTTTTTTTCAACTTCAGGTGCTGAGGCTTCTTTCTCTGTCTTTTCCCAAATTTTCTCACCCCTAACACTACCCAGAGCCAAACTCAGAGGCTGCCACCTAAGACCAAGTATCCCCTCCCCGCAAGCTGCTTGAAGGAACCAGCTTGTTATGATGAAATAACTAGCTTTAAGATAAGCAGCAGGCTGTTCCGTGGGAGCTGGGGTGTGTATTGCAGAGGGTGGGGTGTCAGCAAGAAGCCCCACTGAATCAAACAATGGCAGGAAAGGAAACCATCTCATTTTGCCACAAGGTTTTCTTTATGGATAGGTCTGAACAGCCTTTCCTGGCATGAATGTTTGCATAGCTGTTCCTAGAACAGAAGGTAGTATTTTCTTCAAATGCTTTTCAAAATATGCTTGTGTGTATGTGTGTAAGTGAAACAGAGACAGAGGTGTGAGAAGGATCCAGATCTTAGAAGCCTAGAGCACTAGAGTTTAGATCCCCCCCTCAAGGAAAACATGATTAAATTTCATGTTTGTTTGTTTGTTTGTTTTTCAGATTTTTTTTGGCTGTAGTGAGGATTGGATTCGAGGGTCCGAGAATAGAATGAGTTGAGAGGCCATTATAGTATTCTAGGTCTGATAAGGCCCAATGTAGGATAGTGGCTGGAGGACAGAGGCCAGCATTAGCTTTGTACTTGGGGAGAACAGAAGAACCTAGAACACTTGGTAAGGAGAATCAGAAGTCTTAGCCTAGGGCCAGCCAGATAGCTCAGCAGATTAAAGTGCCTATTTAGGCACTGGTTTGAGCCCAGGAATGCTGTGCTGGCCCTGCCCCCAGGGCTTGTTGAGAGAGCAGATGAGACTGGGTGTGGTGGTACATGCCTGTAATCTCAGCACTCGGGAGGCTGAAAACAGGAGAAGCACTACAAGTCGGATCTGTGTCATGAGACCCTGCACTAAATAAAAAAATAATTTAAAAAAAGGGCTTATCCTGAAGCTAACACAGACACAGAGCTAGGGTGAGACACGCTTTACTGAAATCTAAGGGAATAAAGGCAAAAACTCCCCTAGAAACCCACATCTCACAGCTTGGCTAGGACTAAGCCCATTCATATGGAGTTGGAAAATAAACTGAGGCAGACTCCCAGTAAGACAGGGTCAGAGAATGGGAGTCTAGGCGCCAGACCCGGGGTTGTTGCAGTAACTCTTCATTTTTCCCCTATTACGTCAGGAAAAGGTGTTCCTTTCCCAGTGCTACATTTTTAACCTTCCCTCCCCGCCAACATACACACCACAGGCCCAGGGAAAACCAGTGAGGTGTTCTGATGATGACATGCCTGCTAGAAGCTACTAGGAGGAGGATCAGGCTGCCTAGATCCAGATGTGTAGGAAGAGGCACAAACTTCGACTATACAAGAGTGCTGGCAGGGATGGAAGACAGCACAAAATGGAAGGGCCTGGGAGCTAGGGACTTGAAGAATACTTGTTTTTAAGAAAAAAAAAAACAAAAAAAAAAACAAAAAACGCCAAAACAAAAAACCCCTAAGAAATAGTGTTATAGTTGTTATGGTTTGTGTCTAGTTGTCCCCCTATAACCTCATGCAGTCATGGGGCAGACTTCTAGAGTTTGGATTATTTCATAATCCAGTGCTGGGATTATGAGTAAGTGCTACACCCACCCTGGGGTAGACAGCCTGAATGCAATATAAGGAAGGGAGAGAGGCTCGCTAGCTGCCACAGCTGCTTCTCCTCCCTTTGCTCTTTGCTGTTTTCTGCCGTCGTGAACTGCTGCCCTCTGCCATGTGCCACTCTGCCTTGGAGCCAGCTGGGTGTGGACTGAAACCTCCATAAACTGTGAGCTAAATAAATCTTTCCTTCCTTAATTTTGGGTGTTGAATATTTTGTCCCAGCAATGAGGGAAAAAGTAACCAAGACAATAATAGTTACTACTTTTTATTGAGCACCTACTTTGTGCCAGGCACTTTATATACATCGTGCTTATAATTCTCACAATGATTTTAGAGGTAGGCATTATACATAAAGGAAAGAGCGGCTCTGCTAGGTGATGCACATTGTTCAAGGCCACCCGCATCTGTAAGAGGCCCAAGGCTTTCACCAAACATTTTTCACACTGAGACTATGAAGGAGAGAGATGGGCACAAGGAAGCATTCTCTAGGGAGTAGAGCCCTTGTCAGAGCTGTTATGGGAAGCTGAGTGCTATCTCGTTTCCCACTTTCTCCTATCCCCAGCTCAGCAGCAAAGTCAGGAAAAACTCACTCTGGCTGAGGCTGATCTAAGGAAAATGGCTGCGATGAAAGACCTTACCCTGCATACATGTTGGCAGGTGTAAGTGTGTATGTGTAGCCAGAGTACACCACTGCTAGGATAAGAAGATTACTCACACTCAGGCCACACCCCCGCCACGTGTGCAGAGTTAGACAGCCAAGGAATCTTGAAAGAGCTGTTTATTTCCTATCAGAGTCCCAGGGAAACCACCTGGGCAAGGGCCAGCTCAACAATCAAAGCCTGGAATTTGTCCCCCTCCCTCTCCTTCCAGGTTTATCTGGCCTCAGAGATGTGTTCATTTTATAGACTCAGGACGCCATTCTCATTTCTCTTTGCTTGGGGGCACCACACACACACACACACACACACACACACACACACACACACACACCCCTCCTTGAGTTAAGGCATCAAGTCTGGCCTGCATGGCCCCACAAGTCTGTGACCATCAGGCACATCAGGCTCATGGCTGAGCCTACGTGTGTACACAGATGGGTTAGTGCAGTGTTAGAAGCCGCTTCCCAACAACGATGGCTCCAGGCTGAGCCCAGTCCTTCTGCTCCCCCAGCAGAACGCTGGCCTCCTTGTCAGTTGGCCATTTTCCCCAGATGGAGCAGGACCAGGTCAGACACAGTTCAGGCATCTGCTGGGAACTCAGGCCCTGGCTTGAAACACCAAGACTGTAGTTTCTAAGTGTGTCAGGGACTATTTTGAGACTGTTAAAGAGGATTGTGTCCCCGCCTTTGAAGGACAAAGATGGCCATGAAGGCAAAGACAGAGGGAAGACGTTTCTCTTTGTGCTTTTAAAACTGGGCTATGTGTAACAGAGAACCGACCTTTCTCTCTTCTGAGCTCTCTGCCTCCACCATAGAAAAGAGGTTTCTGCAGACTGAAATGAGAGCGGTAGGGAAAGGGACAGTTAGGACTGTGTACTGGAGCCAGAGATTGCTTCAACGATCCCTACTGCTCCAGGACGCTTAAATCAGCACCTAAATAGAGTGGTGACTACTTTGGGTGAGGGTTTGGGTGTGAGGAAGAGTTAATGTCAGCAGCTAGGGCTGTGGGATTCATGGTTCGGCCGGATCAGGACACCCAGGTGAAGTAGGCGACTTCGTCCAGATCCACTGGGTAATCCGTGAGCAGCACAGGCGTCTTGTCAAAAAGCTCACCCTTATAGCTGCGCCACTTGCCCGCGGGCAGGTAGACGTCGCGCTCCTGCTTGCCTGGCTCCAGCACCGGCGCCACAAGAAGTGTGTCCCCTATGAGGAACTGTGAGTCAATGCGGTGAGCAGCTTCGTCCCCTGGCGCGATCCACCAAAGGGGGCGCACGATGGGGTCTCCGGTGTCCGTGATTTCGCCAGCGAGCTCCAGCAATAGCGGCGCCACAAGGGAAGCCCTCAGTGCAGCGAACTTGTGTGCGATGGCCACCACTTCAGCGCCGTACTGCCAGGGAGGGATGGAAAACTGCATGGCGGGCATGAAGGCGGCCACCTCCAGCCAGCGCACATAGAGCTCGCGCTCCGGCCCATCAGGGCCGCCCACCGTGCGCTCGGGCACCGCGTTGCCACCGACCATATCTGGCAGGATGAACGCATAGCCCAGCATGCTGACAGTGAGCACGGCGGGGATGAGCGAGCGCAGTCCCAAGTCGTAGCCCCACACCGAGTCGCGGTCCACGAGGCGGAAGAAGCACGAGATGTTCTGCGACTGGTAGCCCACGCGGACCTCAGCTCGCGAGTAGAAGGGCAGCGCCATCTCTGTGTAGCGCCGGCTCCAAACGCTGGGATCCGGGAGGGGCCTGTAGGTGCTAAAGTCCCGCGGCAGGTAGCTCACCTCCCCTGCGTCGAACTTAAAGGAGGCCACGCCATAGCGCGAGCGCAGCCGCTGCAGGTGGCTGTGGAACCAGTCGCGGGCCTCCGGGTGCGTGAAGTCGAGCACAGCGCCGATGCCGTTCCACCAGCGCACCAGCGCGGGCAGCCGGCCCGTGGGCTCTCGCACGAACAGTTCACGCTCCACGCCCTCGCCAAAGCGGGAGGAGTTGTAGTTGACGAACGGGTGCACCCAAAGCGTGACAGAGAAGCCAGCTTCACGCAGGCGGTCGAACATATCGCTGGCGTTGGGGAACTTGGCCTCGTCAAAGTCGAAGTCGCCATAGGCCGGTGTGTACATGTCATCGATTTCCAGGTGGCTGCTATTGAAGTGGTGCTGGCGGATCTGTTGGGCGAAACGCAGCACCTTGTCCTGGTCCACAGCACGCCCGTAGAGCGCCCACGTGGACCAGATGGGGTGTTGGAAGGCCTCGGGCGCTGGCACCCGGGATGGCTTGTTGAAGTAACGCCTCACCATGTACTTGTGAATGGAAGTGACATCTGAGCCCACGCAGACACGGTAGCTGAGCTCAGGGGCTGCGATGTGGCCAGCGGGAGGCTTATAGGGCGTGTCATGGTAGCGCGCCTGGAGCCGCAGGGAGCGCTCTGTGCTGTTCCAGCCCAGGTGGAAGGGCACAGAATCATTCACTTTGATGGCAGCTGCGCGCGATGATAACCAGTAGCGCTCTAGGATGCCCCCGAATGCGGCGTCGGAAGAGTAGACATCGCTGGTGACAAACGGCTGCGGCTCCTGCTGGCCGTCCAGACGGATGGGCCAGTGCTGTGTCCTCATCTCAGCACCACCGTACCAGTGCGCTGCGGCATCGCCCAGGAACATGGCGTGCTCCACCGCGCGCCCCGGCGCCGTTTCCTCCCAGCGCACGCGGTAGCACATGACTGTGTCCTTGGGCCGCACAGTCTGGATGAAGAAGTGCAGCGGGCGCCCATCTGCCGTGCGTGAGCAGCCCAGCATGGCGCCGTCCCGGCTGCAGGAGTCCAGGTCCAAGGCGCCTGATCGGAAGGCCAGGCGGAAGACTTGCTCGCCTTTCTGGTTGCGGATTGAGAAGCCACCACGATTGAGGTCCAGCAGCTCTGCACGCAGGCGTTCGGCTTTGCGTAGGGAGGCGCTGTAGTAGCACCAGGCCACGATCGCGGCCAGTACTAGGAGCAGCCCCAGCACCGCGGAGCCCAGCAAGGGTCTCAGCTCTTTGGATGGCTTGGGCTTGGCAGGCGAGAAGTTGTCGGGCAGGAAGGTATACATGGCTGCTGGGACCTCAGTTCTCTTCCGGCCTGCGTGGCGGCGGCGGGGGTGGGCCTGTTTCTTCTCTTCAAGGTTCTGGGGCATCAATCGCCAGCTAAGGAAGGAGCAGGCAGTTGGGTCACCCAACTAAGTCCATCTGAACCTAGCTTGAGTCTGAAAGGGAAAAAGAGGGGGCACGGGGACTGAGTTTTCTTGTTCCATAGTATTTCCACCTGGCTTTCAGCCATTAATCATGAAGTCGCTTCTCTGTCTATGTTTTTTATCTGTTTATCAGTACAACCTCTGTGGTGTCACTCATCTCTCTCTGCCACCCACGTAGTTTGGGCACTATCATTGCTCCCTGAATTACTGCAGCACTTTGTCAGTGGCTTCTCTGTCCCCAAATGTATTCCCTTTAGTGGTGTTTATTCACAGCAATCACAGTGATCTGTCTGAAAGTTCTGTCCCTCGCTTTGAGAACTGCACAATAAGCCCCCTGAGGAAATTCAGAAGTACAAACCTTTTTCGGAAGTGTAAATATTGCAATCAAAACTTAAGACATGATATGGTCTTAGCTACCTTTCTGATTGTTCCAGCTAGGCCTTGCGGTCTCTACCCAATCTAAGGCCACCTGCCTCAGGAGATTTCATCCACCCAGCCTAGGAGCCTTTTCTCCACCTACCATCTCTGCAGGAATCAGATGCCCACATTTCACACACAGATTCTCACCACTGTGTGCTAAACATCCAGATAGGACTGTAGGGAAAAAATCAGGCTTAGGGGAAGGTTTGTGTCTTAACCTGCTATCCGAGGCTGTTCCAGCCCTCAGGGCAGAGTCCAACAAAGAAACAGCTCCAGCCAGGTGCACACACAGGCAGACACTCCATTGGCTGGCCAGGACCAAACTGCTCAGGCTGGGCAGTGGGAAGAGGAGGAGAATGGCAAACAGTAATTAGCCTCCTTCCAGATGCCAGTATATGTCTCAGTCTTCAATGACTTCAAGGAGGTCCTGGAACCTTTCAGGTTTTTTAACCCCTCCAGCTACACAATGCAGAAACTACCAAAACTGATACAGATCCAAATTTTGATCCTACAGGACAAATACACAGTGTCTTTTACCTCCTGCCCCAATTTGCTCCCTCTTCCTAAATCCCTACACTTTCAGTCTCTCCTGGTCTGGAATAGCCTTTTCACTTTCTTCAGCCCTTAATAAAGATTTAGCTTTCCTCCACTTCCTGTAGGTACAGATTATAAACACCCTCCTGGAAAATGCAGGTACTGTAATATCTTTTAGCTGACACCCTTAAAGCTAAGCAGAACTGGAAGAAGGGCTTAGGAGCCCAGGCTAGATTTGCTGAATATTTTCATTCATTCAAGACAACCACAGTTCCATTCTGGGTAGCACCAAGAGAATAGGGAAGAGATTCATATCTAAATAGGACAGACTCTGTCATCCTCAGCCTCATATTAAGTCAGATTTCCCTTCTGACTCCTGGCACATGAAGAGGCTACTTTTGTGGTCTCAAGCCTTTTCTAAGTTCTGGGTTTTGAGAACCCTAAAATTGTAGGATTCTAAGTCTCTACTCTTCCTTTTCCTCCTCCTCTTCCTTTTCTTCTTCATACTGAGTATTGAAGCCAGAGACACTCTAACTCTAAACTACATTCCCAGTCCTTTTTATTTTTTAAATTTTGAAATATTACCTCCTTAAGTTGCCCAGGTGTGACTCAAACTTGCACCCTCCTGCCTCAGCCTCCCTCAGTGGTAGGGTTATAGGCATGCACCATCATGCGTGACCTTCTTTCATTCTTTAAATTTTATTTCCAGCCTCTACAGCATGTTTTGAGAGAGATAGTGGCCTGACCAGGCTGCCTGAGCAGCATGGCAGAAACAAGCTGTGTGGCTGAGATGAAGAGACAAGCCTCCATGGGGTGGGCCAGAGAATGATGAGGGCTGTCTTTTCAAGAGACTGACCAGAGACCTCTGAGGTCTGTCTTCTCAAGCGACCAACCAAAGATCTCTCAGGGGCTTGAAAGAAGCTTTTATGTTTTGTTTTATTTTTTGAGACGGGGTCTCACTGTATATTTAGGCCTCAAACTCATAGTGATCCTCCTACATCAGCCTCCAGAGTGCTGGGACTACAGGTGTGTACCTCCATGCCCTACTTGAAAGGAGCAAGTTTAATGGCATCTGTTACCCGACCTGTGGAGGAGGAACTCTGTAGTTCCGGTGGTAGCAATGGTTAGAGACCTCTGTAATCTGCCGCCTCCGCCATCTGGCCAACCACAGGCTAATGCTAGCAGGTAGGGCCCTGCAGGCGGGCTCCTTGGGCTCTGCTCCTGCGGAGCCTCTTCCAACTTGTTACTCAACGTTGCTATTTTGTCTGCCAACCCCTAGTTTGGTCTGAGGAAGAGGGCCTAGCTCGGAGCCATTTATTGGACACAGTTCCTGGGTGGCAAGGAAGGGTAGTGGAAATGTCAAAGGCAACTCGATCTGGTTGATCTCCCTCCCCTGTCTAGAGAGAGAATCCTCGAGGATCGAGTGACTGCGCCTACACAGTCTGGAATATTTCCACACCCACCCTCAGAGCCCCACTCGACAGCTATCCAAAGGGGCAGGCGAAGGTCAAGGAACCAGGGGCCGGCTCGGAATCCGGCCAGTGGAGGGCACCAGGTATTCAGGGTCGCTCCACCTACTGGTATGTAGGAATCAAAGTTCAGGAATCATGCACCTTCAGCAGCACACCCCCACCCGCCCCAAGATCCTCCCGTGGGGCTCACTCACGGCACTGACAGTTTGGCAGAAGTGGGGATGAAGGGATTCTCCCAAAGATCTCCTTCACACGAGCCTGATGTGACCTGCCACCGCGCTGCACCGGGCGCAGCCCCGCAAGACACAACTCAGCTCCTCCTCGGCTCCGCCCCCGGGCTACTCAGCCACGCCCAGGCCGTCCATTGTCGCCCTGAGCCGAGTCCCGCCCCTGGCGCCTGGCCCCTCCCCCACACCCTCGCGGGACCTAAAGCCCCGCCCTTAGGATCCACACCCTAGTCCTCCAGTCCTAGGCCCTGCCCCGGTATCACAGGCCAGGCTTTAGCTGGGAGCCTCTGGTTCAGTCTCCCGCCTGAGGAGCCGCCTCTCTGGGACAGTGCTTACACTCGAGGGGGCGGGACTGATCCCAGGCCTGTTGGGAAATGTAGTTCTAGAGGAGGAGCAGTGGCAGAATGTCGGGGTTCTTGCACCTCCTGGCTTGGAAAATATGTGACAGTCGCAGCCCACCACTGTTTTCTCACATGGAAAAGTAGTAGCGCGATTCTTGGAGGTGATTAGCGGGAGAGTTCCTTCCAAACAAGAATCCCACGGAGGGAGCTTGTCGTCCCAACCAGCCTGTGGCCCAAACTATTGATGCGCACTGGACTGGACCAGCAGAGCCTGAGTTCAGAGACTGAGAAGACGGGTTTCTGCTCAGTGTTTTGCAACGTCCCCTGCTCCTGCCTAGTTACTTATAGGTTTTCCCCCTCCTCTTAGTGACAGCTTTTAGTCAGAAGAAAGCAGAAAGAGGTGGGTGAGCCCACCTCTCTTCAAACCCCTTCCCAGGGACTAAGGGTGATGGAACACTCTGAGATTTCACATCTTTAGTGGAGAAAGGAAAATACTGAAGAGCCCTAAAGATATCAGAACATCCCTGAGGGGCAAGATAACCCGGCTTTCACAATCTCACATTTTTTGGTCATGGGGCCTCCAGACCTGTTTCAGATGCCTTAGGCTTTGTGTGGGGGAGGGCAACAAGAGCATCTGGACTTTTGGGAGACCATAATGGAGACTGTGAACAAGAAGAAAGAGTTTGAGAACAGTTTTTACTGTGGAAGAGAGGGCCGTGTACCCTCTGAGAGGCATCCAAATTTGGGGGCATACTGGGGAAATGTCAACTAAGACAGTCTTCATGAGGGTGGAAAATAGAGGTATCCTCTCTACATGGTTCTTCGTTCATTTAGGCTCTATATTGTGAGGAGAACACTAGCTGGATATAGGGTCACTGTCATGTGGCAGGAAAACACTCAGGGAAATAGAGAATCATGGGAGTTTGGAAGATTCAGGACTTTGAGAAATTGGTCTCACAGATCTTTCTGAAAAGGACACAGGAGGCATCCCTTGAGGAGAAGAATTTATTGCTCTACCCCCTTAGCCTGGCCAGCCCAGGCTCTACCAGCAATGGTAATTGGGATAAGTCTCTGACACAAACTCTGGGTGGACGACATAGTTGTTTCTCTGGGGACCACCGGTCTTCTTGAAGTGACTTGTGTCCCATCTGCAGGGAGAGATGGGTCAGCCCTTGCAGACCCTTTACCATCGAAGTGAGCAAGTGATTCTAATTCTCAGGGACAAACTTATCTTAACATTTTGCCACTAACATTGACCCCAGGCTGGAACTCTGGCCAACACTGACCTCCTGACATCAGGCTGTTAAGTTTCTGACACCCCATGAGCACTCCCTAGCTTGACCAGTTATCCTTTACTTCAAGCCTGGATCCCAAGCCCTTGAATCTAAGTCCACTGTTAATTATAACCTCTCGATACAGATCTCCTTGCCCTCTCCCTAGGGTCTGCCATTCCTTTGCCAGTTTTGGCTTCCCCATGGCACTATCGCCCCCTGGTGGCACTTTTCTGTCTGTGCATCATGGGGGCAGCCCTGGCCCATTACCCGGCCAGGACCACACTAAGGACACAACTTCTAGTGTACTTGTGCAACTAAATGTGCATGCACCAGACTTACCTAAGGTTGGGGTACGGGCAGTATGATGGCGGGGGAGTTGTAACAGCACAGTGCATTCCGGGCCGGTGGTCGCAGGGTGATACACTCCTGGGGAAGCAAGCAGTGGGCAGGAGGAGATCGGGCCTTTTGATACCTTTTGTATCCCTACAGTTCAAACCAAGCACTTGGGTGTGCTTCAGGTGTCAGTCTTACTCTCCAGGATCCTCTCCTTCCCTTGAGACGTCACTGTGGTACCGCCTCCCAGAAGGCACCCCAGATGATCCCTCCCCCTCAAGGCCTAATTTCTGCTGCTTAGGGTAAGCTGTGGGGCTCGCAGATTTCTGGGTAAGATGGTCAGACTGCAATCGTTGAGGACTTGGCATCCCCACATTCCCACTTTGGGCCAGCAATTTCTCCAGCCCCACAGAGGCAACATTTCTGAGGTTCAGGCACTTTCCAACCCCCCCCCCCCTTGAAGTGGTAGAGGAGATTTGCATGAGGACGGGTTCAGGAGCCCCATCTGCACAGCTGTATAAACTGCCACAGATTTAGGATTTTTCTCAAGCTCAGCCCATCTGGTCTGCGGCCAAGAGCAGGACAAATGCTGGGCTGCTGCAGTCTGAGCTTGGGCTGCAGCTTTCTCAGCAATGAAACACGCAAAGGTGCCTTCTCCAGAGGGGTGTGGATCCCCACAAAGCCAAGGCAGCTCTGGTAAAATGGTCACCATTTTCCTGAATCATTCTCTTAGCAATGATCTGTTTTTTGGTTTTTTTTTTTTTTTTTTTTTTTGAGAACACAAGGTATTTGGAAAGCCAGAACCTGCATCTCCAGGGGCAGGTGTCCCGATAGTTGTCTCCTGGGTCTCCTGGGCTCTGGACCCGCGGACGCAGAGCGCGACATAGTGGTGAATAGGAAGGCCAAAGGGGTATTAGGTAGGGCTGGTGGGTAGGAAAGAGAGGGACTGATGTGTGGGGATTTGAGTCATCAACTCCAGAGCACACACAAGGGCCAGGTTGCTCTTGAGCTGAAGCAGGGCTGGATTCTCAGTTTCAGGTATTTGCTTGTGTCCAGAGGCCAGAGGACTGGAGGTCTGGACGCAGCAGAACTCTGAGCCAGCAGAGCCAGGATGGAGCTCAGCCAGGGGCTGGCTTTGGAGGAGAGGCAGGGATAGAAACTAGAAGTGGAAATCTGGGCGTGAAGACCCACACCTGTAATCCCAGCTCTTTGGAGGTTGAGGCAGCAGGATTGCCTCGAGTTTGAGGCCAGCCTGGACTACACAGTGAGTTCCAAGCCAGCATGAACTATTGCAGCGAGACTCTGTCTCAACAAACAAGCAAGCAAAATTCCCAAATCAAACAAACCAAAAAACCAACCAAACAACAACAAACTGGGTGGGAAAGGTGCACGTGGGGCCCAGAGGGGCGGGACGCGGTGGGCTCGCGCGGGGCGGAGCCCGCAGAGGCGGGCGGATCTCCGCGAACCTTACAGTCGGCTGTTCTGGGCACAGAGCCCGCAGGTGGCGGCGTTCGGTACACGGAGGCGCCCCGGAGACGCAGTAGTCCATCCCGCGCAGGCAGTAGTGGCGGCCAGAGCAGGCGCTCTCGTAACCTTGGAATGGCAGGCGGCCTGGCAGCGGATCTACGCACCCGCACCGGGGCACGATCTGCGGCAGCGTCTGGTTCCGGGACAGCGAGTTCAGCATATTCACCACTACGTCGCGCTCTGCGTCCGCAGGTCCAGAGCCCAGGAGACCCATAGATAGTCACAGGGACAGGAAGAAGCAGGGCCAGAGACAGTGAGAGGTACAGGCAAAACAGACTCACAGTCACTCCCCGTCCAGGACCCTTGCCCTGCGCTCTGTCCGCCTCCGCCTGACCCTCCCCTCTCAGCAACCTTTCCCGACCACTGCCCGTCCGCTTTACCGTAGGCATTGAGGCGCTCGGGTTTAGGAGGGCACTCCAGAGGCATTCCTCGAACTGCCGTCTCCATCCCGGCCTCCTGCAAGTGGCACACATGCTACCTTAAGCTCTGATAAGTAAAAGGGGCTCCCAGAGCACCCGGACTAAGCCCTAGCAGTGCTTTTCCCAGGCCCTCAGCACTGAGTGGTGGGGTTGTCTCCCCTAGCAACACTTGTACGCTCCCCCCCTTGGGGCGGAGCTAGAGTGTGGTGCGGGGCTTGGGTGTGGATGTTGGGGACAGGGCTTGGGTGTGGATGGGGCTAGGGTGTGGGAGGGTGGGGTGGATTTGGCCTGGACCTCTGATAATACCCCTTTGACCTTTTGCCTTTGATTTTATCCCTCTGTGTCTAATTGTGCCTGGGTGGCTCTTAATAGGCTTTCAATGTTGCTTACCCATCAAAATCATCAGGGGAGCTTGGGAAAACTTCTAATTTTTGAGGAAGTTCTAATTCAGAATTGTTCCATCAGCCACCAGGCTACAGTTAAGCACCTCTGGCCTTAGGTCCTATCAAATTATTCCCATCAATCGGTTTGGGCCTGGGGCAGGACTCCCTCTTACCTCCTTGGCAGAGTCTCCTATATTTGCTTTCTACTGAGTAGCCTTGCTCTCCTGCTATTGGTCCCCGCTCACATCACAAAGGATTGTCAGGTGGAGCAAGGAGACCCAACTCATTATTGACTCTTTGGCCAGCCTTGGTGTCATTAGCCAGATCAGATAGAGAGGGGTCTTTAGGCAAGCTTCAAGAAGGCAGGATGTGAGGAGTGCACACCAACTATGTTCCCATGTAGCCTGGTCAGAGGCTGGGTCCTTGCCCATCATGGTCACTTTTCTGTATTCTGTTTTTAGCTAAGAAATACAAGATCTAGTTTCACAGATGAGGCAGAGCCCTGGAGCATTCATTGTTCATGAGAAAGGATTAGTAGATTGAGTATGTGGGGGGACACCCCAGGTATTTGTGGTAGGCAGAGTAGGTACCTTAGGCAGTCGAGGAAGGCAGGTGGTATATTTGTTCCAGTAGGTGCTGTTGTAAGGTCCTGTCCTCCAGCTGCAGTATGGGTCATTGCCAAGGTAACTCGGGCAGCATTTGTTTTCTTCATAGGGGAAGAGAGGCCAGATAATGTTATTCCTTATTCCACTCGGAATCTGGGACCTTAGCTTTTTCTTCTCTAAACCCCAGCACAGAGTAGACTCTCACTAGCTTCCTTCAAACCACTCCCCAAGCCCAAATTGGCCTTATATTTGCCTTTTGACACAGATGCATCCCAGATAAAGCCCACCCAAAGCAAGTTTTGAGTGAGGTGCAGATCTATTGCTAATTACTTTTCATCCTGGCTCTATCTTCTTTGAACTGGACAACCTGGGGCCTCCTCCTAACTCATTCTTTGTCTATTTCTGTTTCTCTGTCTGTGTCTGTTTCTCTGTCCCTGTCTCTCTCTGTGTGTCTGTCTGTCTGTCCCTCTCTCATCTTCTCCATCCCAAATCTAAGGGATGGAGATTTACTTACTCTACCTCTTAAAAATCACTTCAGTCTATCCCATCTTTTGTTCCCCTATGATCTCACTGTCTTATATCTGTACTATCTTAACCACAGAGACAATATAGTTGTCTTAAAAGACAGTTGTTATATTGTCTTACCCATGAGTCAATATGTCATGTTTAACAAAATGAACTCTGCTGATAGATTTCCTGGGTTTAATTTTCAGTTCTGCCAAATAATAACAACGTGTGATCTTGACCAAGTTAAATCAATTTCTTGTCTCAGTCTCCTTAACTAAAAATATGTATGATGGTATTATCATAAGATTGTTCTGAAGTTTAAACAATAAAATATTTAAAACAGTGCTTGCCACATAAAACACTATTATGATTAGTCTACTGTCTCCTTGCCTCATCTTTGAAATTGTACAATTCAACCTCAACATACAAGCTGTGGTACTTTTACACATGTGAAAATTTGACCAAGACATTTCCCTAGTTAAAAGACTAACACAGCCCCTGTCATCTAAGCCTGTCCTATGGGCCCTTCATGATCTTCTCCCCATTAATTTCAGAAGGATTTTTTTTTTGGGGGGGGGGGGCTGGCTCTGGATGCCTTCAGGGCAGGTCTGGTAAGGCTTGAGGATCTGGAGGATTGAACCACAGCATCCTGAGCCTGACTGTTTTGTTTAAGCAGGCACTTAAACAACTGAGCTAATGGGCAGGCCCCCTCCCCAGTAATTTAAAAGAATTCATGTGAGAGGATGGAAGAAGCTCTAAAGAAGAGCAAGCAGGAAAGAGGAGGGGGTAGAATGTTAGGATTTGTTCTGAATTGGTGGGTTATATATACTGAGTTTGATGTGCTTGGATGCATGTAGGTAGAAATGACTGTAATCAGATGGAAGAGTGTGTTTTTCTTTTTTTCTAGACAGGATTTTGCTGTGTAGGTCATGCTCATCTTGGACCTACTATGTAGCCCAGGCACTCTGAAACTGATGGTGATCTTCCTACCTCTCATCTTCCTAGTGCTGGGGTCACACGTGTCTGCTACTATGTCCAGCAAGATTGAATTCTGGTGTGAATTCAAGGGTGCAAACAAAGACTTGGGGTTATGAGTCCTGAGTAAGTTAGATAAAATGGCCTTGCAGGCAGAGCAAGGAGAGAAGAAGGCCCTGGATGTACCCAAGGAAACTGTTTCCACAATGCATGGATGCATAAATCACCCAGAAAAGTGAGAGATTGGAAAAGCTGAGGAAGGAGGTAGTTCTAGGGACTAGAGAGTGGTCAGAAAAGAGAATTCTAAAATGCTTAAGGTAGGGCTCAGAAGGTAAAGAATTCGGAGTCTTGTGAATATGCTAATCATAACCACACAAGTACAATTCTAGTGTTTATAGGAGATGCAAACTCCTCACTTCACCTGGAAATTATGAATTTAACCACCAAATATTTATGACTGGTACTTGAAAGGCTCTTTATTTTTTTTCTTTTCAAAGTTTTATTGATAAACATATAGCAATGAGACAGTTTCAAATCAAATCGAAAGTACAGTTTCAACAAATAATACA